CAGAAGGTTCTTCCCATCAGTAGAGAGATGGATAAACAAATTTGGAAACTCCTTTGAGGGATGACTCGATGTTGACTAGAATAAATGAGAACTATATGGAAAGATCCAGAAAACATTAGTTGAAAAGGAAAGTTCCAGGGAGCTAGTTGTAGCATGACAGCATTCATGTATTTTTTTTTCAAATCATTATGAAATGTTACATGTATTGTTCTGGATATACAATGCATATGTTAAATCTATGAAAACCTAGCTGAGTGTGGTGGTGCAAGCTGAAGCGTTATCTAAATAATCTTAGCAAAACCAGGAGTCAGATATTGGGTAAAAACCTGGAAGATTAAAGAACCAGGAGCAGTCGCCAGTTGCTTCCTTTCTCTCTCAGTCTAAAATGGAGCTGAGATCCTGTCTACACCCCACCTAATCATGTCCTATCTCCACCTCCCAAGTGCTGGGGTTAAAAATGTGTGCCACTACTGCCCAGCTTCTATGGATAACTGGAGGCTGGCTAGCTCTGCCCTCTGATCTCCAGGCAAGCTTTTTTTGTCAGAACACAAATGCCTGTAATACCAGCCCTCAAGAGGCTGAGGCAAGGGAATCAGTGAATTCCAGACCAGACTCGGCTGCCCTGGAGATCCTGTCAAAATCTTTCACTTTTATTGATTATGGTATGTGTCTCAGTTAGTGTTCTATTACTGTGAAGAGACATTGTGCCCAAGGCAGCTCATACCAGAAAACTTTTCACTGGGGGCTTGTTAACATTTCAGAGGATTAGTCCATGACCATCATGGCAGGGAGCACCGTGGAGGTGGACAGGCATGGCACCGGGGCAGTAGCTAGGAGCTCACGTCTGATCTGCAGGCAGGAGACAGAGAGCCATACTGAGCCTGGTATGGGTTTTTGAAACTTCAGAGTCCATCCCAAGTGACATACCTACTCTAACAAGGCCACACCTCCTAATCCTCCAGGGCATCTCCACTAATTTGGTCAAACATGTTAGCCTGTGGAGACCATTCTCGTTCTAACCACCACAATTTGTTTATGGGCTATGGAAGAGTAAGCACATAGGCCAGAGGATGACATTGTGGAGTTGACTGTGTCCTTCCACCTTTATATGGTACTGGGGATGGAAGTCAGGCCATCAGGCTGTCATGGCAGATGCTTTACCCATGGAGGCATCTCACTGGGCCTCCCCATCAATTTTTTTTGCAAAGGGAGTGGGGTATAGCTCAGTGGGAGAGCACTAGCCTAGCATCTGCAAGACCCTGAGTTTAATCCCCAGTATAAAAAGGAGGGAGGGGACGAAGGAAGATTAGATAGATGGATGGATGGATAGATAGATAGATAGATAGATAGATAGATAGATAGATAGGTAGGTAGGTAGGTAGGTAGGTAGGTAGGTAGACAGACAGACAGACAGACAGACAGACAGTTTAGATTAAAAATTAGGCTGGGAATGAGGCTGTCTCAGTTGGTAGAGTGATTGCCTAGCACACAAGAAGCCCTGGGTTTGTTCCTCAGGCCTGTATAAAGCAGATGTGGTGACTTATAATCCCTACACACACTCCAAGGATGGAGACAGAAGGATCTGGAGTTCACTCATCCTTGACCACACAGCGAGCCAAGCCTGGGCAACATGAGATCACCTAGGAGATGAAATAGAAAGTAAAAGGGGGAGGGGCCCAGCCAAGGGGGAACTGACCACAAAGCAGGCAAGAGAGGACAACACAGAGGAAGGGAAACACCTGTCTCAGTGTCCACCATGATTCCCTCTCTCCACTGGCACCTCCCTAGTCTGCTCTGGGACAGCCCAGTCCTGTTCATGGCAGGCAGTTCAACCCTGTCACTCTTCCCAGCTTCTTCTAGAACTGATTCTGTACCTATAAATCAGACTGTTCAACATATAATTCACTCAGTTTACGCCAGTCACTTTTAGGTCAATTTTACACACGATAGTGTCGTTTGGGAAGAGAGAACCTCAACTGAGAAAATGCTCGCACCAGATTGGCATTTTCTTGATTGCTGACTGATGTGAGAGGGCCCTGCTCACTGTGTAGGGCCAACCCAGGGCAGGCCTAGCAAGCTGTGGAGAGCAAACCAATAGCCAAGCATCCCTCCATGGCCTCTGCATCAGCTCCTGCTTCCAGGTTCCTGTCTTGAGTTCCTGCCCTAACTTCCCTGGATGACAGACAATCCTTTCCTCCTGAGTTGCTTTTGGTCATGGCATTTTATCACAGCACTAGAAACCCTAAGATAGGGTTTGAAAGAAGTCTACATCCTGGAGTCACAAAGCCTGAGGACCTGCAACTGTGACAGGTGCAGAGACATGGCTCCACACTGCAGCTGGCAGCAGCCAAATGAGTTCCCTTAATCTTCTGGGGATCTCTATTCAGGTATCCAGATCGTTTTGGCTGTACAGCCAAAAAGAATTTTAAACCAGTCATGGTGCAGCGAGCAGGCAGGATATGCTAAAGAGGTGGAAACAGGCTGGTGAGATGGCTCAGTGAGCCAAGGGAGCTTGCCACCAACCCTGATGGTTTGGTGGAAGTTGAGAACTGACCCCTATGACCTGTACATGACAAACATAAAAATAAATAAGCTTTAAACATTTAAAATTTTAAAAGGAATTTCACAATCGAGTTTATTTTTTAATTATGCTTGTTCTTTTATGGGGCTTTTTCAGCTTACACTTCCAAATCACTGTTCATCATCAAGGAAGTCAGGACAGGAACTCAAAACAGGACAGGATCCTGGAGTCAGAATCTGATGCAGAGGCCATGGAGGGGGGTGTTGCTTACTGACTTGCTCCTCCTGGCTTACTCAGCCTGCTTTCTTTATTTTTTAAGATTTTTTTTAAAAAAATATTTATTTATTTATTATGCATACAACATTCTGCTTCCATGTATATCTGCACACCAGAAGAGGGCACCAGATCTCATAACGGATGGTTGTGAGCCACCATGTGGTTGCTGAGGATTAAACTCAGGACCTCTGGAAGGGCAGTCAGTGCTCTTAACCTCTGAGCCATCTCTCCAGCCCCTCAGCCTGCTTTCTTATAGAACCCAGGACCACCATCCCAGAGATGGCCCCATCCACAAGGAACTGGACCTCCCCCCTCAATCACTAATTAAGAAAACAACTTACAGCCAAATCTTATGGAGGCATTTTCTCAATTGAGGTTCCCTCCTTTCAGAAAACTCTAGTTTGTGTCAAGTTGACATAAGACCAGCCAGCACAGTAGCCTACCTCATGCCTTGCTGTCTGGGAGCTGTCCACAGAGTCCTCAACAGGATCGGAGAGGTCACTGCAACATAGGCAGGGCCCTTCCCAGAGGCAGAAGCACTGAACTGGCCCAGCCCATGTAGAGTAAGGCCCCATATCTGTTTTCTGACCAACAGGGAGTCAGAGAAGCCATAATGACATATGCAATCCAGGACATGGATGCCAGCAGCAGCATGCTAACTCCCAAGAGCAGCTAGACCATCGCCATCCTAATCTTGACCCCGATTCTCTCATTCAGCCTCCCATCACCCCAGTGGCAAACCTGACCCTGTTACAATGATGCAGATGACTGTGATGACCCTGTATGTTCTGTGGCACAGCTGCCTGGCAATCATATGCCTGCTCTCCATCCAGCCACATCCTTGAGCCTTGGAAATTTTCCACCAGTCCTCCCAAACACAGACAGCTATGGCCATCTCATTTTCCAAATCCTTCATCATTCACCATCTGGGAAGTACATAGCTCACAACAGAATTAGCCAGACCAGTGTGGCCCTGAGAGATGCTGACCAGCTAGCTACAGTACCAGGGGAGCCATGGCTCAGAGTCTGCCCAAGTCGGGACAGGGAAACTGGGGGATCCAGCTCTGAGCTGCAGGATGCACTTTAGACAGGGACTGAGGAAGCCTTGCCTGGGAGGTCAAAGCCACTCAGAGACTCCAACACCAATGAGTGTATCTGTCAAGTCTGATAGCCACGCCAGCAAGTGTGGCCCACAGCAGTCTACACAGGAATCCAGCGAAACCAACTCACTGTCTATGTGGGGCAGAGGCAGGGGCAGAGGGAGGGACTTGAGTCCCTGGCCCCATGTCAGATCCTTTTTTTTTTTTTTTTTTTTTTTTTTTTTTTTTTTGGTTTTTGGAGACAGGGTTTCTCTGTGTAGCTTTGGAGCCTATCCTGGCACTCGCTCTGGAGCCCTGCCTCTGCCTCTGCTCCCGAGGGCTGGGATTAAAGGTGTGTGCCACCAACGCCGGGCTAAATTCTACTTTTTAAATGCGTGTGTGTGTGTGTGAGCTTGCATGCCCGTGCATGCATGTGCATGTGTGTATACATATGTGTGTGCATGGAAACAAGTGTGTCTACGAGTTCATGTTTGTATCCATATGCATGTGGATATCACAGGAGCACCAGTGGTGTGATCCGCAGGAATGTGGTCTACTCTTTTGAGTCTGGGTCTCTCCTTGGACCTATGCTGACTAACTAGGCTAGACTTGCTGCCCAAGGTGCTAGAGATGAAATAGTCAGCAGACCTCATTTATTGTATGTGTCAGGCCCCAGCCCCCATAGGGTCTATAACCATAGGTGCATCCTGTTTTCTAGTCCTGGCTTACAGCCCCGGCCTTGCCCCACTGACATCAACATCTAGTTGTGAAAACACAAACTCTGACGGGCGTTGGTGGCCATGCCTTTGATCCCAGCACTCGGGAGGCGGAGGCAGGCGGGTCTCTGTGAGTTCGAAGCCAACCTGGTCTACGGAGCTTATCTTCTACAAGCAAGTGGCAGAGGTGCCAGGGCTGTAGGCCATCAGTAATTTCAGAGGTGAGCATGGTGACAAGACCCTTTGGAAGGTGTCACAGTGGGCCAGTCTTTTCTCACCCATCCCCAAACAGCCAGCAAGCCCTGGCATCACCATTCTGGCATCTGCTGTTTCCCTTTTAGCCTATTTCCAGTTAGTCCAAAATGAGAAAGCAACCACAGACCAAAGAAACAACTCCAGTTTGGAGGAGGAATAATGACTTTATTGGGGTCACTTATAGATTTCTAGGTGACTCGGGTAGCTTCATCACCAAGAAGCCTGCCTCACCATGGTGACAACTCATCTAGATTCGTCCCTCAAGTCTCCTGCACAGCTTGTGAACAGTTCCATGGACATGTTTTCTTAACTGGGGAGGAGTGTCTTGAGTCTTGTAAATTTACTGGATCTCTTGCTCACTGCAGGAATCAAAAACCTGCAGAATAGGGTCATAAGATGGTCTGAGGTCAGTCTAAAATTAAACAGCTCAAAAGGTAGAGAAAGACTTACCCAATACACAGCTGTTGGCTCCTGAAGGTCTGTCAGCACAGTCTACAATGTAACTGAGGGGGAGGGTGTCACTGTGTGATGGGCAGTCAAAACACAGCATAGTGCTTCCCAGTAACAGCAACAGTGAGCTGGCCCAGGCCAAGTAGAGTGAGGCACCCATCTCTGTTTTCTTTGTGGAGCCCAGCAGTGGGTTGGAGAAGCCATGGCTGATGTTGTATGTCATCCAGGACAGGGACATCAGCACCAGAAGGACAACACCCAGGAACATCACACTGGCTGCCTTCATGATCTTGCCTTCAACTTCCTCGTTCTTTACACTCTTGAGACATTCATCCCTGATCATGAACAGCAGCAAACCTAGCCAGGTTCCAATGATGCAGATGATCATGAAGACTTGAGACACACTTAAGTCCTGAGTGACTGCTGGCCTGGTGTCATACAATGTGCACTGTATCCAGCTGTTTTTCTGAAGCTTGAACATGTGCCACAAACCCTCCCAAATACTGGCATCTGGGTTTGTCTCATCTTCTGGAAATGTCACCCTCCAAACAGGCAGGATACAGCTCACAATGATACACAACCAGCCCAGGGTAGTCACCGAGAAACTGATCGCCTGTTGCTCCATGCAGACCATGGTTCAGAGTCTGCTGGTAGCAGGACCAGGAAGAGAGCGGGGGTCCAGCTCTAGGTATGCAGGATTCCAAGAACTGAAGGTGGACTTTTAAAACATCTAAAGCAAGCCTCTCCCTGTGAGGCACAGTGGCATGGAGCAAGTAAGATATGCCGCTGCCACCAACAACTATCTCAGAAGAATCAGATGTCCCACTCTATCAAGTGTGACCACAGCAGTTGTCATGGGGCCTATTTCATGAAACAGATTTGAGTTTCTGAGAGGCTCTGGGAGAGGTAGGGCAGAGGGAAGAGCTCCAGTCCCTGGCACCTGCCTGACCAGATCCCTGTATTTCTTTTTTTTTAATGGGTGTGTGTGCACCTGAGCATGTTTGTACATGTGTACACATGTTCCTGTGTGCATGCATGTATGTGTGTGCACTGGAGCATGTTTGTACATGTGTATACATGTTCCTGTGTGCATGTATGTATGTGTGTGTACCTGTGTGTTGGGGGTCTCATTGGCCTGGAGCTCACCAGTTAGGCAACTTGTTAGCTGGCTGGTGAGCCTAGAAGTGTTTTGTATCTAGGCCTCGGCGCATTGGGTTTACCAGCAAACACCACCATATCCAACATTTTTATGTGGGCTCTGATAGTTGAACTCAGGTCCTTCAAGCTATACTCTCAACCCTAGATCTACGGAATTCAGAGCCCAGACCCAGCAAAGTCACCTTAAAGCCCCAAACATGAGCAAGAGTTTCCATCTGATATTAAGAAACCTCTTTTTCTCTCTACATGAATAAACACAGTCACACACAAACATTATACATATACACAAAGATTAGTAATAAAATAAAATTAAAACATAATTTAGGGGAAGAAAGATCCTTCCTGCTCTTATGCAATGGTCTAAGTAGAGTGCCAGGCAACACCAACAGCAGAGTCTGGCACCAGCTTCCCTTCTTGGCCCACTCCCAGAATTGGCCATCATGGGTGGCCATGGCACCCCCTCAGGCCAGTGGAATGAACATGAAGGTTTGCACAGATGTTCCTAGATAGATAGGACAAGATGCTCCTTGCAGGGTTTTCAGTCTCCCAGATAAGACAAGAAGCTCCTTGCAGGGTTTTCAGTCTCCCAGATAGGACAAGAAGCTCCTTGCAGGGTTTTCAGTCCTTCTTAGCCCCACTTACCTTTTAGAAATGGGGTTGTGTGATGTGACTCTGAACTCATGGTGATCCTCCTTCCTCCTCCTCCCCTGTGATGGATACACAAGCATACACACCAGGCCCAGAAATTTTCCCTTCTTGTTTCTCTTTGTTTATCAAGACATGGTCTCTCTGTGTAGCCCTGACTGTCCTAAAACTCACTCTATAGACCAGGCTGGCCTGGAACTCACAGAGATCTGCCTGCTTCTGCCTCCTGAGTGCTGCAATCAAAGGTGTCTCCTATCACCACCTGGAAGTTTTCCCTTTTTTAATTGGAAAAGTGGGCTCAACCATAATGTGTTGACAGATTGGGCACCAAGGCTTGGGATCAGGAGGTGACAGAGAGGAATGGTTATATGTCTGGGTCCCTGATGGCATCACTGAGCCCCACCACCACATTGACCAGTCTTGTGTGCCATGCTGGACCTGAGCATTGTCCCTCCTTTAGGGCTAGCTATGCACCATTCTATGTGTCCCCCACATACTCATCTTACATGTTTAAAGCAGGATGGATTCAGGTGTGAAGCTTGGATCTTAGCCTCTGAAATCTTGGTTTCCCAAATAGTTCCACCAATTGGGAACTAAGCATGAGCCTATGGGGGCCATCAAATGCCCACACTGGGCTACACAGCAAGTTCCAAGCCAGCCAGCACCAGTGCCATATAATGAGGCTCTGTCTGGGGAAAAAGGAAATATGGATAGCACCTGGAAGAGTAACAAATTAACCTCTGGACTCCACATGAGTGGCCACACATATGCATGTATACCTGGACACCCATGTATACACAGACATACATTGTCTTAGTCACCGTTCTATATGTGTGAAGAGACACCATGACCAAGGCAGCTCTTAGAAAAACTGGGGGCTAGGTTACTCTTTAGAGAGTTAGTCCATTATCATCATAACAGGAAACATGGCAGAAACACAGTGCTGGAGCTGGAGCTGAGAGATGCAGCCTGATCCTCTGAGGGAAAGTGAATCTCAGCCTGGCTTGGCCTTTGAAACCAAAAATCCATCCCCAAGGACACACTTCCTCCAACAAAGCCATACCTCCTCCTAATCCTTTTGAGTCTACCAAAAAGTTCCACTCCATTGAGATTAAGCATTCAAATATATGAGTCTGTGGGGGCCACTCTTGTTCACACCACTACACATACAATAAAAATGCAAAGGAGAAAGGATTACTGTGTACAATAAGTTTGATAGCTTATTAGACAAATGTCAATCTCACTATTCACATAAGGAAGCTTGCTTCTCCGCCAGGTGACAGGACAGTGACATTAATGAGGAGGAACCCACCATGAACCTTCATTTGAGGTCACAGAAACATTCATCATTGGCTCCACAATATGACAGGTAGATGGAACCATCTTCATGGAGTGTGATACATGATATTTTTAGGGTTCTGATCAATGGGTATTCTACTTTGTCTTCCATCCAAAGGCCCCAGTGGGCACACCCACATTAGGGTGTACACAGAGACCCTGGATCCAGGCCATGCTCAGCTCTATGTTCTCTTGATGGCTCCTCTACAACATGGGGTCTCTAGCCTCCCACTGTGACTGTCAAACATCCTTTGGCTCCTTGCTGATATCTGTAACTTCTCCAGGACTCTATGGGCTGCACTTCCTGACCTACCCAGCATCATAGGCATCCTTACCTACATCCTGAACCCTCCTCAGCCTTTCCCATCACTCAACCCAGGCCATTGACTCCTGACACAAAGGGCACAGTCATGCTCCATCCTTCCATCTATTCCAGCCTGCCCTCCGTCCTGCTCTCATGGCTCAGGTAATCAGAGAGACCTCTGGAGAGGGAGGGAATGTCACTCAATGGGACAGTGCTGACATGCATAAAGCCCCGGGGTCCATCCCCAGAACCCTATATGCCAGAAAAGGAGACACATCTGTATCCCAGAACTCTGGAGGCGGAGGCAGGAGAATGAGGGTTCAAGTGCATCCCCAGGGATAACCAGTTCAAGACCAGCCTGAACATGAGATCCTGTCTTAAAAACTAAAAAACAGCCGGGCGGTGGTAGCGCATGCTTTTGATCCCAGCACTCTGAAGGCAGAAGCAGGTGGATCTCTGTGAGTTTGAGACCAGCCTGGTCTACAACAGCCAGCTCCAGGACAGCCTCCAAAGCCACAGAGAAACCCTGTCTCAAAAAACAAACAACAACAAAACTAAACTAAACTAAAAACCCAAAACCTAAAAAGCAAGACAGGTGACACCAGTCATTACAGCCTCAGGATGGTCACACTTTCCAGGACAGCTCAGGATTCCATAGGATTTCTCCATCATGAAAAGAGAAAAAAAAAAAAAAAAAAAAAGGACTTCCAACACCGGCCAAAACTCAGGGCTGGATGGCTCCTTGTGTCACACACTGAAAAGGCTCAATTCATATGAGCTCAGGGAGGCTGGAGTCCTGGGCTGAGAATTCTACATCATCTCTGTCATTGTTGCCTGGAAGATTCTGCACAGGCCTAGAAGCCCTTGCAGATCCATGGAGTTCCCCAAGCCTGCCCTTCCCCAACTTCTCAAAGAAGGAGTCTCCTTAGCCGCACCGCCCAGTGCTTTTCCCTCACTCAGCCTCCAGAACTGGACCTGCACCCTCCCCCTCTTTCCATAGGATCAGGATTCTACAAATACAAGAGGAAGAGGCAAGTGCAGATCTGAGAGTGCAAATCCAGCCTGGTCTACACAGCAAGACCCAAGACAGCCATGGCCACACATGGCGTCAGTTCTGTCATGAGGCAGCCATGACTGCATCAACCTCAAACATACACAGCAGCAAACCCTTTCCGTTATACAGATGCCCATGAGGACCTGAGACACCTGTGGACCCTGAGCTAATGTCACCCCTTAGCCATGGTCCTTGCATGCCACATAGACTTTGAACCTAGCACATTTGCCATAAACCCTCCCAAACACTAGATTCTACTTTTGTCTCACTAATTTTGTCTTACTAACTTTTGGAAACATTGTCCCATTTCACATGGGCAGCCCACACCTCCAAAGGGCCACCAGCCAGCCCATTCTGTCCACAGAGATGGAGACTCACTGCAGTGCCTTTAGAGCCATGGCCCAGAGTCACTGCAGTTAGGGTGGGGAGACAGTGGGGAATCTGGGCTGGCTACAGATGGAAATCTGAAGTGTCCAGAGAAAGCTTTCATGGAGGCAAAGAGACACAAAAGCAGACAGAGACTCCCTCCACACCAACGATTACCTTTGTAGAAGCAGATGTTCACGCCAACAGTGTGAGGACAGCAGTAGACACAGACACCTGGAGATACAGATTAAGGGTGTATGAGGCTATGACTAGGGGTGGGACACAGGGAGGGGTTTCATTTCATGTGGCATCGGGACAAGACTATACTGCCTTTTTAAACTCTGTGTGTGAGTGTGTGTGTGTGTGTGTGTGTGTGTGTGTGTGTGTGCCTGCCTGTGTGTGTGTGCTTGTATGTGCATGTGGGAGTGTGCACGTGAAAAACCAGAAGTCTTCCTCTGGTGTCATCCTCAGGATGCCATCTATCTCCTTTAAGACAATGTTTCTCATTGGACCAGAGCTCATCAACTATGCAAGACCTCCTGGCCAGGAATCCCTGTGGATCCTCCAGCCTTTTCCTCTTTGGCACTAAATTTATGATCAGATGCTTTTATATGCTACATTTATACCAAGCTAGACCCCCCAGCCATGGTCTCTGTATTCTGAATCCAGGACAGCAGAGTCTCCTGAAGTCACCAGTCCAGAGCAAAAAAGCCCATATCATTGAAAGAATCTCCTTTCTTCCCTCTATATGGGTGCCCACATATACACACATTGAACGTAACATATTTATATAATTACATATATATTATATAGAATGATTATGTAGAAAGAAAGATCATGGCTACTCCTAACTGATTGGTCCAAGTGGCGACAAGGCAGAAATAATAACCTGCTTTGTCCCCAGCTTCCCTTATTAACTCTCAGCCATCAAATGCCCAGGTCTAGACCAGTGGCCATTCTCTGGCCAACGGGTTATAGTAGAAGGCTCAGCATGGTAATTGGCAGGTAAGACTAGATTCACATTGCCAAGTTCTCTGTTTTCACTCCTCCCGATTTCTATTTTTAATAGCACACTCTTGTGACATAACACAGGTCAACCTTGAACTCATGACCCTCTTGCCTTAACCTCCACAATGATGATTCTCAGGTATATACCACCAAGACCAGAACTCTCCCTTTGCCCTGCAGTAATGTCCTAGCATGATGAGTTGACATACTGGGCACCAAGGCTTGGGAGTGCACTACATCAACAAAGTGGTGATGCACACTGTGATCCCAGCCCTCAGGAGGCAGAGGCAGAAGGATCAGAAGTCCCAATGTGGGACTCCAAATGTGCCCTGTGGCACACGACACTATAAGAACAATACACCTGGATGACTCTGACCCCGCCCCCTAACAACGGGGCATTCACCCGACATGCATTGCAAAACCCCGGTGCGCATAGGCAACCTCCCCTTTAAAAGGTCCTGCCGCCCATCCCTCTCTCTCTTCTTTTTGGCTTCTCTTGGGTTGGCTGACTACCCATCCCCCTCTTCCCCCCTTTCTGGTAAATAAACTCCACGTGGGTTGTTCATCCGTTGTTCCTTTCTTTATATCAGCAGCTGCAGCTTAAACAAAAGAATAACAGATACCCCATCTAAATAAATATTTCAAGACATGTTACAAAAGTATGATCTGAGACCTGAGCAAGGATTTGGAGTTTTGGATGATCCCGTCATGGAGGTGTGGCCATATGCACAGAGACTGGATGTCCACCAAGCACATCTGGAGCATGAATATCTGTAGGACCTTTCTTGGAGGCGTCTCCAAAACTCTAAAGACAGTGGGGTCACTGGATGAAGGGGCTTGGATTCCCAATGTGTGTATGAGGCAGGGCCCTCCACACCCACCTGCAATATTCTAGAATAAGATACAGACTTACATTATGGTGAAGGGACCAGCTCCCCATTTCAGCAGCCATAACAGCCAAACACGAGCTTGCCATAACCTTGCCTTGGTCACTTAGAGATGCCTGCCTAGTGACAAGGAACCAATCAGAAGTTAGCTAGTGGTGCTATGCTTTATGGCTCTGGGTGTGCTTTATAGACAAGTGCACAGCAATAACGTGCAGAGCATAACAACCACCTTGGGAGGGCCTATGGTCCATATCAACCAGTTAACCAATCAACACAGGGCAAGCCCTCCAAGCCTGGAGGCACACCAATCCTGAACCTGTGCATACCCCTAGACACTCCCTTACGCTGCCCTATAAGATCTCTATACAGTGGCTTCGCAGTGTCTTTTCCTAGCCATCCTCCATGGTGGATGGATGAAAGGCCCGAGCTAACATGGGGTTAGCTCATTAAATAACTATAATAAAGTCTCGTGCAGTTTGCATCAAGCTTTCGAATCTGCCTGGTGATTAGAGTGGCTGCAGTCCTGGGCTGAGATCCTGGGGGCCTGAGCTCCCGGGGGTCTTACAATGGGATGGACTGAGATCCGGGGAGTGGTCCAAGAACGGTCACATGCACTGATCACCACAGCTAGGATAGTCATTATTATCCTTTGGTCGCCTCAGTGACAGAACCTATGAGTGTATCCATGCTAGGCAAGCACTCTTCTCTGAGAGACATCCCTGTCCTACACAGGATGTTTTAGGTGCTTCTGGAAAGTTCCATGAGAACAATGAAATCTCAGCACTTGGGAGGCAGAGGCAGGAGGTTGAGAAGTACATTTCTGTCCTTGCCTACATAGAAAGTTTAAACTAACTTGAGCTACTTGAAATCATAAAAAAATTAAAAACCGGGACTGTGAGATGGCTCAGCAAGTGAAGGCACTTGCAGGCCAGCTGAGAATTTGAGTCCCATCCCAGGAACTGGAAGGGGAGATGAGACTCCAAAAAGTTGTTCTCTGACCACCACACACAATCACCCAAAAATTAATAATTTATTAAAAAAAAAATACTGTAGCCGGGAGCCGTGGCACAGGGCTTTATTCCTAGAACCTGGGAGGCAGAGGCAGGAGGAACTCTGTGAGTTCCAAGTCAGCCTTGTCTACATAAGTAATTCCAAGTCATCCAGGGCTACATTGAGAAGCCTTGTCTCTAAAAAAAAAAAAAATGTATTTGTTTATTTATTTGTGAAAAAACAAAACCAAAACAAACCCAGCTGGGAGAGTTTGAGAACTTCCCAAGCAAGGAAGACTAGAGCCTTACGCTCATTGGCTCGTAGTAGGGGCGGATTTCGGATCTTTCTTTTGATTGTCTGTTTTCTCTTACGGAAACCCAATCATCTGATTGTGGAGGCGGGGCCAGGCTCTCTGTCCCACCGCCCGTCTAGCCCGGAAAGAGGGAACTGAGCTGTGTGTTCTGAATGTTCTGCTCTTTGGAGGCTTTGCGGTGAGGAAGAACCCCCCGATCCACGCCCGGGGGTGACGGGCTGGGGCGCAGCCCTCATTCCCTGAGCGGGATTACCCCTCTACCCACCCCTCCCCTACAAACAGTCCCGCCATCTCCCACTCAGGATCTTGTATGTGACGTGGGAAGGAGTTGGAGCTCTGGTAACCTCCTCCGCCAGGTGAGGAAGGACGAGATACTGTGGTGGACCTCGTCACAGGGTGGGTTCTGTCCCCACAGGAGGATGACTCGGGAGGAGGCTGGGAGGCTGCCCCAAGTACTGGCCCGGATCGGGGCCTCCCACGACATCACCGACCTGGCCTGCAAGCTCCGCTTCTATGACAGCTGGGCTCCGGAGTACGACCAGGTGAAAGGAAGCACGCGGCCCAGATTGTGTTTTTATATGCAAAGCAAGAATAGTACCCGTTCATTCCAGGGAAGCTAGGAGCTGAAAAGAGACCTGGGAAAGAACCTTCCAAACCTGCTCCTTAGCGATCTGCCCACCTACTAGCTCTAAGCACCCCCTCTAACTCTGGATTGGACGTCCCCATTGAGCCAAGAATGACCCACCTTAATACTGAAACTCAGACAGGGAGACTGCCTGCAGAAGGCGCTATTGAGTCGTCACTCAATATAGACAGACTGGTTAAGAGCTGCCACAGCTGGTCTGGCTCAAAGGTTAAGAGCACTGACTGCTCTTCCAGAGTACCTGAGTTCAATTCCCAGCAACCACATGGTGGCTCACAACCATCTATAATGAGATCTGGTGCAGATATACATGGAAGCAGAATGTTGTATACTAAATAAATAAAATCTTTATGGCCAGTAGCCAGTGGTCCCACTGGTGTGGGGTCCCTTGACAGTCAAAGACAGCTCAAGCCTGGGTCTTCTATTACTGGGGTCCCAGAAGGACCCAAACCAAACACATCAGCTCAAACCAACAGGCCCCTAACAGGCCCCTAGGTAGGTACTCCAAACCCTAGGGCACTAGAGGGTGTTAGACTAAGTGCTCTGTCCACAGGATGTGGCTGCTTTGAAGTACAAAGAACCCTGCCTTGCTGTGGAATGTCTCAGTGGAGCCCCTCTGGGCCCACCCCATGATGCCCTGATCCTGGATGTGGCCTGTGGCACCGGCCTGGTGGCTGTGGAGGTAAGACCTTCTGATATGCTATGAGGATGCTCTGCTTCCTCTTCAGCACCCAGGGCTTCCAACATGCTACCTCTGAATCAGCAGCCCTCAGCCCCTGGCTAGTGAACTGTAGTCAGGTGGTCTCCACACATACCCTCGGCCTCTCACTGAGGGATTCTGAGCTTGTACTCTATCACTAAGCCATGCCCCAGTCTAGGCAGGTGCCACACCTCAGTCCTCAC